CTCCTCATACAAACTCAAAACCTTCTTCACTACTACACCACCTTCCAACTTAAACTCCCTTACTCTAAACCTCCTTACACCCTAAACCACTCTTAACTTAAACCTCCTTAACTCAAAACTCCACTTAATCTAAACCACCACACACCATCTCACCACACCTCAACAAAACACTTCACTACTAACCCACCTCACAACACACCATAAACTCAAAACCCTCCCTTCCAACTCTAAACCTCTCTTCACAATAAAACACCACTCAACTCAAAACCTTTCTTTCACTCTAACCTCCCTCTCAACTCAAACCTCCTTAACTTAAACCACTCACCCTCTAAACCCTCCTTAACACTAAACCTCCATAACTCTAAACTCTAACAACACTAAACCCCTCACTCAACTCTCAACCACCTAAACTACTACCCCCTCCATAAATTTAACCCTCCCCTTTAACTCTAACCCTCCTCTTCACTCTAAACTCCTCATATAAACTTACATCCTTTCAACTCTAAACCTCTCTTAACTTAAATTTCTTAACTTAAACCTCCTCTCAACTCATACACATCCCCTTTAAACACAACCTCCTCTTATAATCTAAACTCTCTTAATTAACCCTCCTACAATAACACTCCTTCCACTCTACAACATCAACTCAAAACCTCCCTTCAACTCTAACACCCTTAACTTCAAACACCTCTCACACTAAAACCTCCTTCACATCTAAACCTTCCTTTAACTTACACCTCCTCTTACACCAAACACCCTCCCTTTAACTCTAACCCTCCCCTTAACCTCTAAACCCTCCTCTAAACTCTCAACCTCTCTCACCTCTAAACTCCCTAACTCTAAACCTCTCTTAACTCTAAACACTCCTCTAACTTCCCACACTAATCACTAAACCTCTCTCCACTTAAACCCTCCTCTTAAACTCTAACCTCCTCTCCACTCTAAACCTTCCATTCAACTCTAAACCCCCCCCCTTAACTCTAACTCCTTAATTAAACCTCCTCTTAACTCTAAACACCTCTCAACTCTAAACTCCCTTAACTCTAACCTCCTTAAATCTAACCTCCTCTTAACTCTACAACCTTCCTCACAACTCTAACCCTTCCTTAACTTAAACCTCCTCTTACCACTTAAAACTCCCTCTTAACTCTAAAACCTCCCTCTTAACCTAAACCTCCTTCATAACTTAAACCTCCTCTTCAATCTAAACTCCTCTTAAAATCTAAATCCTCTTAACCTAAACCTCCTCTTAACCCTACCTCCCTCTTATAATCTAAACCTACCTCTAACTTAACCTTCCCTTTCTAACTCAAAACCTCCTCTCCATACTCTAAACTTTCAAAAACCTAAACAACAACAAACAACAACACCACACCCATACAACCAATCCCTCACACAAAACAACAACAAACTACTCTACTCTAAAATAACATCATAAATAATACACTAACCAAACCTCATTACCAAAAACATACTCTAATCTAAAAACACCCAAAATATCAACACCAATAACACATACACAACACACAAATATATATATAACAACTCATAAATACAATCCCCATCCACACCCCAATTCTCCCACATACAACAAAAACCCAATTATAAACCCTACCTACCTAAATAACCAACTACCACCCTTATAATACATAAATCCTACCATACATCATAATAAAAAACCCATTCCACTTCCATTCAATATACACCACACCAAAAAAACCCACCCCAATTTCAAATCTACACCAAAAAAAATATCCTAAAACACCTAACACCATATCACAATTCAAAACAATAAAAACCATCCAACCCCCCTACCCACACTAATCCATCCCCATAAAAACCCCCCCCCCACCCCAAACACCCAACCCCCACAATCACTCACCTTTAAAACATTATCCCATAAATAAAAAAACAACCCCCTAAAAACCCAAAAAAATACCCTTCACATACCACTCATTTAATCAATATAATCCCAACATAACACATCCCTTAATTCTTTCTTTTCCCTCATACAACATTATACATATCACCCCACAATATCCACACTAAACTTCCTAAAAATAAATATCACATTACCACATTCAACAAATCCTCCCCCAAAAACCAACCCACAATAATCAAAACTATAAAATATCCAAATATCATATCTATATCACCCTTATATCTCCTATTATCATTTAACCCTCTATATCCCCTATTATCATACCCCTATAATCATACCTATTATCTACCTAAATCATACATATTATCATACCCTTATTATCATATCCCCACAATTATCAACCCATTTTATAAACCCCCCTATTATCATACCAATTAATCATAACCCCCTATTACATACCCAAAAAAACAAACCCATAATCAACCTTTCATTATTCATACTCCAATTATCCTACCCATCTAATCATACACATAACAAACCCCTAAAAACCACCACAAAAAACCTCAAAACCACCCCATAAACCTATCCCATCCCCCAACCAAAAACAAAACACCCCCCACCCCCCCCTCTACCCCCATTCTTCCAAAAACATAATACCCACAAACCATCCCAACACACACAACCATCTCACCACTCTCAACCATTCTTCCATTTCACACCTTTACTCTCAATCTCACCTTTCACACACTTCAACATTTTCCATCTTATTCCCTTACCTTTTCACTATACCACTAACACACACATCCTCATTTAAACTCTAACTCTATATCACCTCACATCTCCCATACAACCAAAACACCCACACACCACACACAAAACATAACCACACACCAACTACCCAACAACAACTCTCATCAATACACACCACTCACGACACACACAAAACACCTCACCTAAACAAACAATCTCTCACACCAATCACACCACACTTCACACACTACACACACAACCCATCTCACAACACATCTACAACCTCTCTCTCTCTTTCCTCTCACACTCATTAAAAACACACACACCACTCAACTAACATACCCTTCTCTTTCCCTCATCACCATTCATTATCTCCTCTCTAACTCTCTCTCTCATCATTCATCCCAAAACACAAAACCAATAAAAAAACAAATCAAACCCTCCATTATAACACTCACCCCTAAAATTCAATATCCCATATACACTCACCCATTAACATCATATTATCCTTATACACACTCACCCAATACTAAAAAATCCCTTATAACTCACCATTATAATTCATATATCCTTATACACACTCACATCTCAATTCATATATCCTTATAAACAATCACCATATAATATATATCCATTATAACACATACCCCTATAATTATATTATCCCTTATACACACTCACATATAAAAATCTATCCTTAACCCCACACCCATATAATTCATAATCCCTTATCCCCCAACAAAATAAATCTCTACAACCCCACACAAACACAACACTCTACAATATAAAACTACCCATATATTATAAATCCCTAATAACACAACCCATAATAAATATATATCCATATATAACACCACTCACATATAATATAAAATCTCCCTTTACACACTCACCCCATATAATTCATCTATCCCTTCAAACACCACACTAAACCCCAAATAATCCTTAAAACATACCATATATAATATATCCCTTATACAACACTCACCATAAATAAAAAAATCCCATAAACCCAACCCTCAAAAACACAACCCATAACCACCTCACCCTCACCACACAAACCAACACCACCCACCCCAAAATAATTAACCCATATACCCACTCCCCATAAATACACTACCCTAAATCAAACAACCAAAACATAAAAACAAATTAAACTCACATAACAACCAACAAATAACAATACAAAAATACTTAATAAAAATAAACCACCACAAAATAAAATACCCAAAAATCCTTTCCCATACCACCCCACATCTTACTAAAAAACAACCATACATAACCTACAAACACCCCAAACCCCCACAAACAACTAACTATAAAACACACACCCAACACCAAAAAACAAAAACCCAAAAACTCCAACCACCAACAAAACCCCAACAAACACCCCAAAACAACCAACCACCCCACACCCACACACAAACAACTCACCAAAAAATAAATAAATAACTTCCCCAAAAACTAAATAACCTAACACCCCCAAAAATAAAAAACACCAACCAACACAACCCACCCAACAAAACACAACCACAACCACCCCACCCAACCCTCAACTCCCCCTCCACCCACATCAAATCAAAATATCTTATCAACCTCTTCCATCACCCTTCACACCTCCTCCATACATCCCAACACATACACTAACCCAAAACCACCACTACTACTACCCAACCCAACCCTACTAAACCATTACCTCCTTACCCAACTTCCAACCCCCACCCAAAACCCATCTAACCCATCCAACAACCAACTTCCTACCAAATCCACTAAACCCAAACACCTTACCATCTTTCCCCCTCACATTCTCTAACACCCATTACCACCCTACCCAAACAACCAAACAACAAATCCACATAACACTCTACACCATCTACAAACATCACACAAAATCCCATAATAAAAAACCCATTAACCACCTCAACCACATACCCCAAACACACCATACCCTCCACAACCCACCAACCCACCAACACAAACACCACAAACACCACACACCTCGTCATCCATTCCTCTAAACCCATACCTCATACAACTACCCCAACAACATTCCCCATTAAACCAATACACCATCAAAAACTTCCCACATAACACTACCCCCACAAACCCACCAACCCAACCATACCACAAACCCCATTCCACCTCGCACCCGGAGGAAACTTACACAGTCATGAGGAGAACATGCAAACTCCACTCAGAAAGACCCTGTACTGACCAGGATTTGAACCCAGGGCCCTCTTGCTGAGAGGCAAGTGTAACTTCAAAGTTACACTGGTCTGGTCTCCGTCTGGTCCCAGTCTGCATCAGGGTCTGGTCACAGTCTGGTCTCAGTCTGGTCTCTGGGCGGTGATGGATGTGAGCAGAGAGCATGGTGCGTTCAAAGACCTCTGTGTGTGTGGGAGGTTACACACAGTACTATTGTTCAAACAGAGACTGACTAGAAAATCACCTGACACGCACGCACACACGCACGCACGCCCCCCAACACACACACAGTCCTGCTGTAGTCCTGCTTCAGTCGTGGTGTAGTCCTGCTTCAGTCCTGCTGTAGTCCTGCTGTAGTCCTGCTTCAGTCCTGCTTCAGTCCTGCTGTAGTCCTGCTGTAGTCCTGCTGTAGTCCTGCTTCAGTCCTGCTTCAGTCCTGCTGTAGTCCTGCTTCAGTCCTGCTGTAGTCCTGCTGTAGTCCTGCTGTAGTCCTGCTTCAGTCCTGCTGTAGTCCTGCTGTAGTCCTGCTTCAGTCCTGCTTCAGTCCTGCTGTAGTCCTGCTGTAGTCCTGCTGTAGTCCTGCTTCAGTCCTGCTTCAGTCCTGCTGTAGTCCTGCTTCAGTCCTGCTTCAGTCCTGCTGTAGTCCTGCTGTAGTCCTGCTGTAGTCCTGCTTCAGTCCTGCTGTAGTCCTGCTTCAGTCCTGCTTCAGTCCTGCTTCAGTCCTGCTTCAGTCCTGCTTCAGTCCTGCTTCAGTCCTGCTGTAGTCCTGCTGTAGTTCTGCTTCAGTCCTGCTGTAGTCCTGCTGTAGTCCTCAGTCCTGCTGTAGTCCTGCTGTAGTCCTGCTGTAGTCCTGCTGTGGTCCTGCTTCAGTCCTGCTGTGGTCCTGCTGCTTAGTTAATGCGTAGTGTCTGCTGTGAGTCTTGCTGTAGTCCTGCTGTAGTCCTGCTGTGGTCCTGCTTCAGTCCTGATGTAGTCCTGCTTCAGTCCTGCTGTAGTTCTGCTTCAGTCCTGCTTCAGTCCTGCTGTAGTCCTGCTTCAGTCCTGCTGTAGTTCTGCTGTAGTCCTGCTGTAGTCCTGCTGTAGTCCTGCTTCAGTCCTGCTGTGGTCCTGCTGTAGTCCTGCTGTAGGACTGCTGTAGTCCTGCTTCAGTCCTGCTGTGGTCCCTCTTTGTTCCCTGTGTTTCCTCTCTGGTTCTCGCCCACGCTCGTTCACAGATTTCCTTCTGAGACTTAAACACGACATGGTTTTCTCTTTCAGCTGCTTTTAGCTCTTATGTTTCCTCTCCAGATATGTGCCTTTTTTCATATTTGAAAAACATGTATGAGACCAAAAGTTTGGACACATCTTCTATTTCAAAGAGTTTTTCATTTTCATGATTATGAAAATTGTAGATTCACACTGAAGGCATCAAAACTATAAATTAACTAATGTGGAATTATGTACGTAAAAAAAAAAAAAGTATGAAACAACTGAAAATATGTCTTATGTTCTCGGTTCTTCAAAGTAGCACCTTTTGCTCTGATGCTGCTTCACTCTTGGCATGAGCTTCAAGAGGACCTGAAATGGTCTTCAACAGTCTTGAAGGAGTTCCCATGATGCTTAGCACTTGTTGGCCCTTTCACTCTGTGGTCCAGTCCCAAAACCATCTGGATTGGGTTCAGGTCCGGTGACTGTGGAGGCCAGGTCATCACTCTGGTCAAAACAGCCCTTACACAGCCTGGGTGTGGATCTAAGAAATCTGAGAAAGTGTGTCCAAACTTTTGGTCTGTACTGTATATGTCTAGCTTCCTCTGTCTGTCTGACTCTCTCTGTGTCTCTCTCTGTGTCTCTTTTTCTGTCTCTCTCTCGCTCTGTGTCTTTCTCTCTGCCTCTCTCTGTCTCTGTCTCTTTCGCTGTGTGTCTCTCTTTGTGTGTCACTCTCTGTCTCTTTGTCTCTCTCTGTCTCTCTCTCTCATACCTGTTGTGTCTCTCTCCCTCACCTGGTCCTGGTCCTGGTCCTGGTCCACAGTTATGGTGTCCTGCTGTGGGAGCTGCTGACAGGAGAGGCTCCGTACAGAGGGATTGATGGTCTCGCTGTGGCTTATGGTGTCGCTGTGAACAAACTCACTCTGCCCATTCCCTCCACCTGCCCTCAGCCATTCGCCCAGCTCATGTCAGGTGAGGACCTCTATCTCTGGTCTCTCTCTCTGGTCTCTCTCTCTCTGATCCCTCTCTCTGGTCTCTATAGTCATTCTCTGGTCTCTCTCTGGTCTTTCTCTCTGGTCTCTCTCTCTGGCCTCTCTCTGTCTCTCTCTCTGGTCTCTCTCTCTGGCCTCTCTCTGACCTCTCTCTGGTCTCTCTCTCTGGTCTCTCTCTCTGACCTCTCTCTGGTCTCTCTCTGTCTTTTTCTGTTTCTTTATTTCCCCTCTCCTCTCTTCTCTCTCTCTACCTGCCCACAACCATTCACCCAGCTCATGTCAGGTGTGGACCCATCTGTCTCTTTCTCCTCTTCCTCTACTCCGTCCTCTCATCTCCCTCTTTCTCTCTTTCCTCTTTCCCCTCTCTCCTCTCTTTCATCTCTCATCTCCCCTCGCTTGTCTCCTCTCTCCCCCCCTCTCTCTTCTCTCTCCCCTCTCCTCTCTTCACCTCTCTCTCTTCTCTCTCCTCTCCTTTCTCCTCCCTCTCCTCTCCTCTCCCTCCTCCACAGTCCCTCTGGTCTGACCTCCTGGTGCTTGTGCCTGTGCTCACAGAGTGCTGGGACCAGGACCCTCACCGCAGACCCTCCTTCTGCTCCATCCTGTCCCAGCTGCAGGCCCTGGAGCAGCAGGTGAAGGAGGAGATGCCCCCGGACTCCTTCCACTCCCTGCAGGACGACTGGAAGCTGGAGATCCAAGACATGTTCGACCAGCTGCGAGCCAAAGAGAAGGTACTGAGGCTGTAGACCCAGGACTGAGGATCTACAGCCTCTCTCTCACCTCCCTCTTTCCTCCTTTTCTCCTCCCTCTTTCCTCCATTTCACCTCTCTCTCTCTTCTCGCTCTCTCTGTCCTCCCGATCTCCTCCCGATCTCCTATCTCTCTCCTCCCTCTCATCTCCCTCTTACTTCTCTTTCACCTCTCTCTCTCCTCTCTCTCTCCTACCTCTCACCTCTCTCTCTCTCCTCTCTTTCCTCCCTCTTACCTCCCTCTTACTTCTCTCTCTCTCCTCCCTCTCTACTCCCTCTCCCTGGCCTCCTGCAGGAGCTGAGATGCCGTGAGGAGGAGCTGAAGAGAGCCGCCCTGGAGCAAAAGTCTCATGAGGAGTTCCTGAGGCAGAGGGAGGCGCAGCTGGCTCAGTGGGAGCAGGACGTGTTCGAACGTGAGCTCAGCCTCCTCATCCTCCACCTCAACCACAACCAGGAGAAACCCAACGTCAAGAAACGGAAAGGAACCTTCAAGAAACACAAGCTGAAGGCCAAGAATGGGGAGAAGATCAGCATGCCCCAGGGTACGGGACCAGAGAGAGACCAGAGAGAGAGAGAGAGACCAGAGAGAGAGACCAGAGAGAGAGACCAGAGAGAGAGACCAGAGAGAGAGACCAGAGAGAGAGACCAGAGAGAGAGACCAGAGAGAGGGACCAGAGAGAGGGACCAGAGAGAGGGACCAGAGAGAGAGACCAGAGAGAGAGACCATAGAGAGAGACCAGAGAGAGGGACCAGAGAGAGGGACCAGAGAGAGGGACCAGAGAGAGGGACCAGAGAGAGGGACCAGAGAGAGGGACCAGAGAGAGGGACCAGAGAGAGGGACCAGAGAGAGGGACCAGAGAGAGGGACCAGAGAGAGGGACCAAACTAACCTTCAGTAGTAGTTAAGTAAGTATTGTAAGCTACTATGTTACTTTTGTTGCAGACTTCATCCATAAGATCACGGTGCAGGCCTCTCCAGGGCTTGAGAAGCGGAGAAACTCCCCTGACCTGGGTCCCGGCTCCTCCCCCTCTTTTGGACCCAGGTTACGAGCCATTCAGCGTGAGTACCACACGCCTCATCACCCCGAACAGGGGGTGTTGCCCCCTCTCTGGTATCTCTCTGGCTTCTTTCTCTCTGGTCTCTCTCTCTCGTCTCTCTCTCTGCCTCTTTCTCTCTGGTCTCTCTCTGGTCTCTCTCTCTGGCCTCTCTCTCTGGTCTCTCTCTCTGGCCTCTTTCTCTCTGGTCTCTCTCTGGTCATCCTCCCTCTGGTCTCTCCCTGCTCTTTCTCCGCTCTCTCTCTTGTTCCTCTCTTGTCTCTCTCTCTGCTCCCTCTCTCTGATTTTCGCTTGATCCGCTTGTTTTGGACAAGCGAGAAAAATGACAGTTGTAAAACATAACTGCATAGGATTTTCAGCCGTTTCCTGAACATTCAAAAGTAAATATAGCGTCAGAGTCACACGCAAAGCACTTAATGATTGTTTTTGTTGTGTTTTTTTTTGCATTTTTCTCTCACTCCACAGATGGGAGTGAGGTGAGAATTCTCACCATTGTCCTGAAGTTTACTGACACAGCTGCTCAAGGGCTTTAGTGGAAATCCATGAACACATTTTCAAAACAATATTACAGTTTTCAAAGGATTTTTGTATCTACAATGTGAGATATGCTCGTTTTCAAACACAAAAATTGTCAATCTCGATTCTGCGATCCCAAACCTGAAGTCGCCTTAATGGAAGCCCGAAGAGGAAAAACCCTCTCTCCTCTCTCGTCAGTCTGCGTCAGCGTTTCTGTCTCCAAACACAAGTGCTTTCATCTCCTCTCCAAAAACACCCACGTTTTGTCTTCCCTCTCCTTTCCCCCTGGGCTCCCTCATCCTCCCTCCCTCACCCCATTCTCCCCCCACCCCCCTTCCATCCAACCAAACCCATTTCCTCTGTGCATAAATATTAAAGTTCGGATATGAACAGATTAGGTCTGTCTGACTCGTCGTTGCTATAGTGTGATATTGTTGAGACAGAGGCCAAAGGGAGAGAGAACGGAGAAAGAGAGAGAGAGAGAGAGAGAGATACTGGAGCGAGAGACCGAAAAGAGAGATTGGAGAGAGGCCAGAGAGAGAGAGAGACCGAAAAGAGAGATTGGAGAGAGACCAGAGAGAGAGAGAGACCAGAGAGAGAGACCAGAGAGAGGGACCAGAGAGAGGGACCAGAGAGAGGGACCAGAGAGAGGGACCAGAGAGAGGGACCAGAGAGAGGGACCAGAGAGAGGGACCAGAGAGAGGGACCAGAGAGAGAGACCAAACTAACCTTCAGTAGTAGTTAAGTAAGTATTGTAAGCTACTACGTTACTTTTGTTGCAGACTTCATCAGAGACCAAGAGAGAGACCAGAGAGAGAGACCAGAGAGAGAGACCAGAGAGAGAGACAAGAGAGAGAGACCAGAGAGAGAGACCAGAGAGAGAGACCAGAGAGAGAGACCAGATAGAGAGACCAGAGAGAGACCAGTTATATGGTCTCAGAGAGAGAGACCATAACAGGTCACATTAATGACCCGTGACCCATAAAAAACAATATATTCCAGTACTCTCACCCTTTGTTGATGTATACTGAGGCCTCAAGATCATGCAGAACAGATAAACTTGGATAGATAGATATTGGCCCCATTGATATTTGTCTTATTTATTTTATTATCATTTGGTTTATTTGAGAAGGGACAGAACATTAAAGTTTAAACTCTTGTAGTTCACCTGTATGGCCACCAGGGGGAGACATGTCACTGTGTTAGGACTACTCTCTCTGCTGCAGCTGATCCCCGGTCTCTGCTTCTCTTCCTACTCACTGTATTTCTTGCACAGAAAAGGGAGGAGCAAGTCACAAACCACACGAGCAAATCTGTGGTGTAGAAAGAGGCCAATAACATGGATTTATATGAAAAGTGTTGATGCTGCGGTTGATTTAAAGCAGAGCGGTGGAGAGGGATCGGAAAGCTCCAGTCTTGACACAGGACACATGTGTTTTACAGCAGGTTATTGGACCCAGAGACTTAAGTGATCAGTTTTATTTTAGCCAATAAGGACCAGTAGTGTGTGTGATTTCAAAATGGCCGTAACAAACACAAACACACGTCCTGTGGCAGCCTCTTTTTCAAGGTGCTGCTCCTGGACTGGTCCATATGGTGAAGACCAGCCCTTACTTGTTAGAAAGGATTAAAGGGCCTAAAGAACTTAAAATGGTACTAATAGCATACTACTAGTCTGTACTAATATAGTATTCTACTAGTCTGTACTACTAGTATACTAATAGTACTATAGTATTTAGTACTATTTTTGTATACTGTTAAAACACAGTGCATTTCTGGTATGCCTTGAAAATAAGATCTTACGGGTAGGTTTCTCTTAACTTCTGTTTACCTCCTTAATCTACTAAGAATACCATATTTTCTCTGACTTTGCAAAAAAGGCAGTTGTACAACAGCAGTGTTCTGTGTTTGAAATACGAGTGCAGCATCTGTGGGATTCCTACAGTACAGTATAAATAATAATAATAATAATGCATCAGTTGTATACAGCGCTTTTATGGACTCTCAAAGCCGCTTCAGATGTCATTATTCTTTCACTCCAAACACAGTGGTGATAACACACACTGTAGCCACAGCTGCCCTGGGGCACACTGACAGAAGTGAGGCAACCAGTATGTGTCATCGGCCCCTCCGACCACCACCAACCATTCACACACACACCAGACTCATTCTAGGGGGTGAAGTGCCTTGCCAAGGACACAACGACAGCAGATCAGTGGGAGTCGGCGGAGAAAGTCTGTCTTGTGGTAGGCTCGAATAGTATAGCATAGCATAGCATAGCATAGCATAGTTGAGTTGAGTTCAGACTTGCCCCCAGTGCTGGTGTCCCCCAAGGCAGTGCTCTGTCCCCCCCTCTGTTCACTGTTTTATGGACAGGTCAGACCTCTGAAGCTAAGCAGGGTATGGCCTGGTTAGCACTGTGATGGGAGACCTCTGGGAACACCAGACAGAATGGTAGAATATTCGAAAAATGCATATATCTTTGAAACTATGATTTACTTCTGTATTGCACATTATCAGTGTTTTTTTAACTTAACTCTCTTCTATTCATTCAATTATTTTCTTCATCTTTCTTTGGACTCGATTTGAAATCTTTCTCTATTTGTGTAATAATAAAAGTTGTTGTTGTGTGTGCAGTGTCTCCTGGCGACCACAGCATGGCCTTCATGGGGCCAATCCTGTCCCTGGAGACGCCCTCCCTGAAGCAGACCCAGTGGAGACCGCAGAGCCCCAAGAGTCCCAAGAGTCCAAAAGTCCTGCGCCTCAGTCCGCAGGAGAGCAGGTAACTACTGACTAGACTCAGACCTGAGTGACCAGAGAAAGAGACCGGAGAGAGAGACCAGAGATATCAAACCTGTTGGTTCAAGTCTGTGAATACACTGGAAAATACCACTTCAAAATATAGTGGGGCAAAAAAGTATTTAGTCAGCCACCGATTGTGCAAGTTCTCCCACTTAAAATAATGACAGAGGTCTGTAATTTTCATCATAGGTACACTTCAACTGTGAGAGACAGAATGTGAAAAAATTTAAAAATGTATTTGTAAATTATGGTGGAAAATAAATATTTGGTCACTTCAAACAAGGAAGATCTCTGGCTCTCACAGACCTGAAACTTCTTCTTTAAGAAGCTCTTCTGTCCCCCACTCTACCGTTACCTGTATTAATGGCACCTATTTGAACTCATTATCTGTATAAAAGACACCTGTCCACAGCCTCAAACAGTCAGCTGTCGAAGGACACCAGGAAAATAATTGTAGACCTGCACCAGACTGGGAAGAGTGAATCTACAATAGGCAAGCAGCTTGGTGTGAACAAATCAACTGTGGAAGCAATTATCAGAAAATGGAAGACATACAAGACCACTGATGATCTCCCTCTATCTGGGGCTCCACGCAAGATCTCATCCCGTGGGGTCAAAATGATCATGAGAACGGAGATCAAAAATCCCAGAACCACACGGGGGGACCTGATGAATGACCTGCAGAGAGCTGGGACCAAAGTAACAAAGGTTACCATCAGTAACACACTACAACGACAGGGAATCAAATCCTGCAGTGCCAGACGTGTCCCCCTGCTGAAGCCAGTGCATGTCCAGGCCCGTCTGAAGTTTGCCAGAGAGCACATGGATGACACAGCAGAGGATTGGGAGAATGTCATGTGGTCAGATGAAACCAAAGTAGAACTGTTTGGTATAAACTCAACTCGTCGTGTTTGGAGGAAGAAGAATACTGAGTTGCACCATACCTACAGTGAAGCATGGGGGTGGAAACGTCATGCTTTGGGGCTGTTTTTCTGCTAAGGGGACAGGACTACTGATCCGTGTTAAGGAAAGGATGAATGGGGCCATGTATCGTGAGATTTTGAGCCAAAACCTCCTTCCATCAGTGAGAGCTTTGAAGATGAAACGTGGCTGGGTCTTCCAGCATGACAATGATCCCAAACACACCGCCCGGGCAACGAAGGAGTGGCTCTGTAAGAAGCATTTGAAAGTCCTGGAGTGGCCTAGCCAGTCTCCAGACCTCAACCCCATTGAAAATCTGTGGAGGGAGTTGAAAGTCCGTGTTCACTGCTCTCGAGAAGATCTGCATGGAGGAATGGGCCAAAATACCAGCTACTGTGTGTGCAAACCTGGTAAAGACCTATAGCAATCGTTTGACCTCTGTTATATTACAAAGTTATATTACAAAGTATTGAGTTGAATTTTTGTTATTGACCCAATACTTATTTTCCACCATAATTTACAAATAAATTCTTTAAAAACCCTACAATGTGAATTCCTAGATTTTGTTTTCACATTCTGTCTCTCACAGTTGAAGTGTACCTATGATGAAAATTACAGACCTCTGTCATTATTTTAAGAGGGAGAACATGCACAATCGGTGGCTGACTAAATACTTTTTTGCCCCACTGTATATATTTCTATCCCTTAATCCATTTTTGGGGTTGGATGGGGCCACAGCAGTCATCAGTGGGAGTCGGTGGAGAATGTCTCATGGTGGGCTCGAACCCACAACCTTCAGGCTCAATGGCCAATGCTCTACCAACTGAGCTACTGTCGCACCAACTTCTAAATAATTGAATCTTTTCAGAGCAAAATTATGAAATTCTTTCATTCATGTGTATGTGTGCGTGCGCGTGTGTGTGTGTTTGCAGTTTGTCAATGCGTGCCAAGCTGCTGGAGTCCGACAGCAGCGAGAGCCGAGAGTCTAAGGAGGACTACGAGACGTACAGACCAAACACACACACCCCTCCTCCATCGCACAACGGTACACACACACCTACACACACACATACACATACACACACACACATACACATACACATACACACACACACACACCTACATACACACACCTACACACACACACACACACACACACACACACCGATCCCACGGATGGACAGGCTGTAGATCCAGGACTCATGTGGTATATAAATAAATGTGCTCCTCTCCTCCCCAGGCTCCTGGGGCAGAGACAGCCTGCGCCTGCCTCTGCCCCAGGGCGACTCCAGCAGCGACGGTGGCGGCTCCTCTCCTGCCGGCTCCCCCCGTCCTGAGAGGCTGTTCCCCGGGGGCCTCCTGAAGGGGACTCACCGGGCCCTGGTGGGGGGCGGGTCCCAGCTGGCCTCCGTGGCTCTGGGTCGCCCCCTTGACGTGCCCCCCCCTGTGCCCCCCCGCAGCCACGCCTCCTCCCTGGGCGAGCGCACCCCCTCCGAGCCCGACGTGAGGCCCGAGCCGGCGGTGGTGGACGACCTCATCTCCCTCAGCCCCTCAGACCTGCCCCCAGCCCCTGCTCCAGTGCTGCTGAGCCCACCCCCGCCTCACCCCCGTGGCACCAGGAGCACCCCGCAGCCTCAGCCTCAGGAGGGGAGTCCGGGAGTACAGGGTCTCAACGGAGATCAGGGCAGTGAGGCCTGGGACCCCCACACGCTGAGGAGGAGGTCCAGTCTGCACAGCTCTCAGATCAGTGAGTATTTCAGTCAATTTAGTTTTGTATTGCTCTAAATCACAACAGATTAATGATAGGAATTTAAATGATAACAAACTTACAATATTGTTTTAACACAGTCAGAATGTGTTCAAATTAAGATACATATAGCCAAATATGATACATTTTGGACTTCTTTCTCATCACTTTTCGCACTGTAGTACGTCGCATTAGGTCCACATTGATGCACATTGATCCACATTGATCCACATTGGTCCACATTGCGTCCACATAGGTCCACATTGCGTCTACATTGGTCCACTTTGGGCCACATTGCGAGTCAAATCACAGATAGTAAATGTACTTTTGAAGCATACTTTATTTCCCAGAGTTTCACCTGTTTGTCCTTTAGAACCTCTCAAAGTCAAAGTCAAACGTGCACAACATGAAGGAAATGAAGTCTCTTTGAAAAGTCGCGAAAGTCTCAGAAGCAACAAATTCCCTGAGCTCCCAAATTATAATTGTTGGTCGTTGTCGCTCTCCTCCCCCCCCCCTCGCTCTGTACTCTCTGTGTTTTACCGAGTGACGAAGGAAAGGTTCAAGATATATTGTTTTAAATGTATTTCAATGTATTTGTGTATAGTAATAAATCACAGCATATCCAGGACTGAGGCTGTGGATCTAGGACTGAGGCTGTAGATCCAGGACTGAGGCTGTGGATCCAGGACTGAGGCTGTAGATCCTGGACTGAGGCTGTGGATCTAGGACTGAGGCTGTAGATCTAGGACTGAGGCTGTGGATCCAGGACTGAGGCTGTGGATCCAGGACTGAGGCTGTAGATCCAGGACTGAGGCTGTGGATCCAGGACTGAGGCTGTAGATCCAGGACTGAGGCTGTAGATCCAGGACTGAGGCTGCAGATCCAGGACTGAGGCTGTAGATCCAGGACTGAGGCTGTAGATCCAGGACTGAGTCTGTAGATCCAGGACTGAGGCTGTAGATCCAGGACTTACTTCTCGATGCAAGTTAATAGGAGCCAGAGCAAGTTGAAGCTAAATTTTCTCCATGAGCTCTCGGGCTGCACTGGCCACCGGCCGCACCAGGCAATGCCCCAAAGGCCGGTCTTCCTGCTTCATACAAAAAACATTTCTGTGAAATTTGTATATCCGTTGAGAAATGTTTGAAGGGGGCACGTGATGGTGGGGCTGCTACAGGCCCAGTCACACCGGTGTTCTATCGAGTTGGTCTGCCCGTCGAGATGAGCTCCCTCAGCTGTTTATGATGTAATGCAAACCTGCGCATGTGCTTCTCACGGCAGCCGAAGCAAACCAAGATGGCAGACATGAAGTCCGTGAGTTGTGTAAAAAGTTTAAATACGAACGAATAAAGACACAAATGTCACTTTTAATGATATTTGAGGCGTGAGAAGCGCATTCTCTATCCCCTCCCCTTTTGCACAATGCAACATCCCACCTCTACCACCAGATGGCAGCGTGGCCCATTGTAATCACATATTTTGCCTTCTCTCGTCCAAGGGATTTTTAGCAGTCCTTTTCTGTTCCATAAGTGGTTTTCTGTGGACCCCCTGCTTATGCCGAGCACCAAAGGCTAATTACAGCGTTTTTCCTCAATCCTCCGTCTTTGTAAACGTTCTATAGTGTGAAACATGTCCCTGGGCTCTTCTTCTTCATGGAAACCTCGCTCCATTCTCCGAGAACAAGCCGTGTCCGTGTTCTCGTCGTCTCTACGTTTTTTCCGCTTCCAAGAAAGAATCGGTGTGAGAATGTGTTAATGTGCAGATAATGTCGGTGGAGAGCGGGCATCATTCATGAGCAAAAATAAATAAGGATTATAGAAAAGGCAATTTAGCTCCTGTACTTGAGGAAATGTATGCTAATCCTGCGTGTCGTGTCATGTGCTGAGGAACATGGGAAATAGAATAGTGCGATTTGCATTTGTTTCTTCAGTGACGTCTCGAGGAAACAGGAGGTCTTTTAGCTGCTATATGTATTAGTGTGAGTCCTGGGTCTACAGCCTCAGTCCTCGGTCTACAGTCTCCGTTCTGCATCCACAGCCTCAGTCCTGGATCAACAGTCTCAGTCCTGGATCAACAGCCTCAGTCCTGGATCTACAGCCTCAGTCCTGGATCAACAGTCTCAGTCCTGGATCAACAGTCTCAGTCCTGGGTCTACAGTAGAGCCCTGCACGGGCCTATTATCTGGGCCCGAGCTCGGCCCTGGCCCAAGGTGGTGGCGCCCCAGCCCGGCCCCACCCGACATGGTTTCTGAATTCTCAGGCCCGAACCCGTATCAAGCCTGACTATTTATTGATTTTTTTACCTACCATAACAATGTTTTAGCGTAGTATATAGTGCCGCACAGGCCCGGCTAGAGGGCGGAGTTATACATGGTAGTGATGTGTTGCAATGAGTTCTGTGTGTACGGAGTGAACGGTCGCAGCAGTATGATACCCAGACGCCGCAATAAACTACAACACACTTGAAGGTAACGCTTTGTGTCGTCAATGACAATACTATACAGAACGACAAATACTACAGCGTGATGGAACGCTATATTCAGTGGGTGCGTTCGTAAATGTAATCTGCCGCTCTGAAAATGAATAAATAAAAGTGCTCGATCCCGACCCGTGTTTGAGGTAATTATACGGTCATTGGACCGAAGCCCAGTCCTCGGGCTGTCGGGCCCCTCGGGCCTAGGGCTCAAGTGCAGGGCTCTAGTCTACACCCTCAGTCCTGGCTCTACAGCCTCAGTCCTGGCTCTACAGCCTCAGTCCTGGCTCTACAGCCTCAGTCCTGGCTCGATTTGTTCACCACATTTTACTTTTGGGCACAACCAACATCATTATGCATTATTAATGCACGGGAAAATGTAGGTACCACAGCTTTCATTTAGAGACACAGGGAGGACATGGACACTCCTTTAAGGCTCCACAGTCCAGCTCTGTTTCTAGCAGTAACGCAATATGTATTTATTTATTTTGTGTCACACAAAGACACACACTTGCCACAAGCAGAGAATGGTCCTGGGTACATTATGACCACGTTCGGCTACTTGCTCGCCGCCTTGTGGTCAAGGGGCCACGGAGGATTTGGAATCCCGTTCGAGTACGTACAGCAAACAGCAGCAAGCGCCTCGAGATCACACACACCCTCTCTGGCTGTCGTGGGTTGCCTAAAATAAAACAGGCGAGCTCCGAGTCCAGTGCTTAGGTGGGTTTATTTTCTTCTATACTCTCAGAGTGCAAAAAAATGGTGAAGGCAGTGCAGAGCGTATTTACAATGAAATCAGCAACGTGCAAATCCATATCCATGTATTATCCATACTGGGAGACGCTAGCTCTGTCAACAACAGTGGGTGTGTGTGGGGGGCGATAGCTTCGTGGGTGCGGGGAGGGGAGCAGAAAGAGCGAGGCCAGCGAGTCTGCAGCTTCAAAATCCCAAAGTCAGTTAGTGCAGCTTTAAGTTTCAAGTTACCTCCTCTGTAACCAGCGGCAGACTGTGCCAAACACGGCTCCTGGCCCCTCCCATTGAGCAAATTATTTTGGTAGAAAACATATACATTTAATTACGCACATCACAAGGGCATAATTCCCATTTCACCCACCAGGAAATAGTGTCCTGGTTCGATCCTCGCGCACAGACCCAGAGGAGCGCGACAGACCGGTAAATGTGTGTGTAAATGTATTCTTGAATGTATTTCTAACCCGCACAAGTGTCCAACTTTGTTTTCGAACATGAAATAGCCAGTCCCTGTGCTCCTCAGAGTCCCAGCAGGAGGCCAGTCCCTGTGCTCCTCAGAGTGGGTTCATATGGTACTAACATGTCACAGATGTACTTTGGTGCGAGGCCAAGGAGAGATCGGAGACCAGGACTAATGTGATGGTACTGCCTGGTTCTAGTCTGTGTTTTGAATCTAGTTAAAGTGAAGCTAGTTCGGAGAGACCGGTGAGCAGCCATTACATTACTACTTTTATATATTTATGATTTTTGATTCTCTCCCTGAAGTCGGTAACACTCAGATTATCCAATGTTGACTCAGTCTGATGTGTCCTCGGTCGGCAGTGATTTTGGCTTCTCCGCTCGCCGGCGCCGCTAATCCTAATTTGGACTAATTGCTGGAATATTCCGTGCTGGCGTCTCATTCTTTACGCTGTGGTTTGTGTCCCGCCGTCTGTCGGTGGAAGCGCGGCACAGATCTGAAGAATGGACGTCATCTCTCACTTGGAGAGCGAGGCCACAGCGGTGCCGTTAAAAAGCTATTTGTAAATTGGCAATTAAAGTTCTGCGACGCAAAGTGAAGAGAGGTGAGTGATGAGAGGCTGTTGTTCCGGAAACCTTTGGAAAGTATTTAGGAATGGAACAAAAGAGGGAGGTATGGGCCAAATGTGATGTCACGAATTTATAAAAAAAATAATATATGTAAAAAAGATTCAGATTTAGACATTTGTATTGATCCCAAATTTGCAGCATAATCTAAAAGCAGAACACACACACACTACACAAACGCACAATGAGCCTCACAGTTCACACAGCAGCAGGTTACACAATATAAGGTAAAAATGACAATGAACAACACAAGAATTCCCAAAGTCAAATACCACGACCAGAGTTCAACAGTTTTATGGCAGAGAGCACAAAATAATTGGAAAAACGGTTTGGTTTCCGCACTGGAGCATAAAAATGACGCCCCGAAGGCATCATAGCAAAGTCAGCGATCAGAGAATGTTTGGGCTGAGCCAGAATACACTTTGCTTTATTCAGCACCTGTTCCTCCCACAAAGAGTGAAGGTTTCTGAGTTTTCCTCCAGTGATTCACAAGTTCTCACAATACTCTGTAACTTGTTTCTGTCCTTCAGCGTTAGCTTTTCTTTTATCTTTTGGTTCCAAAGCCTAAGAATAAAAGAACAATACATGCATTGTTGGCCAAACCTTCAGGTTCAGTTCTCCAGTAGGTTAGACTACTGCTATGGCCTGCTCACAGGTCTCTCCAAACAGGCTGTAAAACAGCTGCAGTACATTCAAAATGCAGCAGCTCGAGTCCTGACAAGAACCAGGAAGTACAACCATATTAGTCCGGTCCTCAGGTCTCTGCACTGGCTTCCTGTGGCTCAGAGAATAGACTTTAAAACAGCTCTGCTTGTGTACAAGTCTCTCCCTGGCCTCGCACCAAAATATATTAGTGACATGTTAGTCCCATATGAACCAGCCCGGACTCTGAGGAGCACAGGGACTGGACTCCTGTTAGTGCCCAGAGTCAGAACTAAACATGGGGAGGCTGCTTTTCAGATTCATGCTGATAAAATCTGGAACAATCTTCCTGAAGATGTGAGACAGGCCTCCTCTCTGACAATGTTTAAAACCAGGTTAAAAACGGTGCTGTTTAGCTGTGCATACAACTGAAGGATTTTATATTTTTATCTTTCTTTTTAATGTTCTGTGATTATTTATGATTTTAATGCTATCTTGTTCAGCACTTTGAGTTGCCTTGTGTATGAATTGTGCTATACAAATAAACTTGCCTTGCCTTGCCTTCAGGTGAAAGACAGTTTCTTATATATAAATGTTGTGGTGTTGTTTTCTTGATAATATTAGCCATAAAATAATATATTCCATATTAGCCCAGACTCTCAGTGGGGGCTGCACTGATACTAAAGTTCCACCAGGGGGCCACAAAGTACAATACCTGTGTGTTTGTGACCACTAGTCAGGGAGGGTTCTAGGACCGAAAGAGAACCGTGAACATGAACTGTACCGCTGTCTCTGTGTTTGAATAAATATATGTATAGCTTTTGAATGCGCTGGGAAACGGCAGCAAGTCCTAAGTGTCTCTGAAACTGTTGTTTTTTTTATTTGTATTGATTTTTTCTGCCTGAGATGTTGCTGCTTTTCAGTGTTCATTGGGTAACACTGGTCCAGACCAGAGCAGAGAGGATTCATGGTCCGAACCAAGTGGATCAGGCGAAAATCCACTGGAGGAATGCTGACTTTTTGAAAAATGCTAAAAAAGCATTTATTTTGGACAAGAGCAGAGAAAAGTGGCTGCTCCACCTTGTGACCTGTCCTGCTCCACCCAGAGGCTACGCCACCTCTGCTGGGCGGCACTGTGGCTGAGTGGATAGCACTCTTGCTTCTCAGGAAGAAGATCCTGGGTTCGAATCCCAGTCGGAACAGGCCCTTTCTGAGTGGAGTTTGCATGTTCTCCCCGTGTCTGCGTAGGTTTCCTCCGGGTGCTCCGGTTTCCCCTACCACTAAAACCATGCACAATAGGTATGAATGTAAATGAGTGAATGGATGGTGTTGATTGGGGCTGATGTGATGTGTTCGCCGACTCTTCCGTCATCACCGTGTGTGGAATGATTGGAACAATATCTGAACTCTGAGCATTGTAAAGCGCTTTGGGTGACCTTGGTCTGTAAAATGCGCAATATAAATAAACATTACTTACTGCTGGGTCCTTCTCCACCCAGAAGCTCCTCCACCTTAGCTGCTGTGACCTGAAGGACTGTTGCTTGTTATTACGATTGTTCGCTTTTTAGAATGATCAATTTTATTTTTGCTGCTACTGGACTCCTGATTTTCTCCTACAAGGAAGAATAAAGAAATTTTTGAATATGATTTGATTGAATATGAGAGTTGTTAAAAAAAAATCTAAATAAACAGTAGTTAAAATGATCTTGTGTTTTCCTTGCAGTGTTGGACCTGCCGCTCTGCCAGGACGTCCAGGACCCTGAGGACAAACCGCTGCCCGCCTTCGCTCTGCACCCGCACCCCGGACTGTGGAGCCCCAAGACCCGCCGCCTGGAGGTGTCCGTCATCCCGCGGCCGCGCCCTTCCCCCGTCCGCCAGCGCATCGACCCCTGGAGCTTCATCTCCACCCCCTCCCCCTCTTCCCCCCACCGCCCCTCCCCCACCAACCCCTTCAGCAGCTGCGACCCCTTCCCCTCGGCGGACTGCGACCCGTTCTCCCTGAAGGCAGACCCAGCCGGAGCGCGCCCCTCGGCCTTCGACCCGTTCTGCGCGCCGTTCCCCTTAACATCTTCGCGGTCGGCGCCGTGCTCGGCTAACGGCTCGCCAACGTTAACGCATCACCTCCGCGCGGCGCCCGTGGACCCTGTGGCCGACTCCCCGCTCATAGACCTGGGGTGGGCGAGCCGCGGCGCCGACGGAGCCAGAGAGAGGGCGCTGCCGAGGAAGACGCTCGGGCTCAAGCCGTTCAGGTCCCCCACACAGCTCAGGGACGACCGCTTCTAGAGAAATTCCTGTGTTGCAGACCCAGAGACGCAGATGGAGGCGTGTTCTGACGGACCATGTACAGTTGCTACAGAGATATTAAGGATTATATTGGAACTAGGGACGCAACACACTGCAGAGAACGACCAAAACGAGTCAAAATGGGCTTGAATTTGGATTATTTTTCTTTTTTAAAGCATAGTTCTTTTAACACTGCAAACACGGATCAACTATGAGGTAATTATTGCTTAAATCTAGTGGTTTTTATCTTAATCTGAGCACTGTGTTGAAACAAGATTCTCCAATGGGACAAAGCCATTTAGTCTTATTCTAACTGTGGCTGTATTTTCTCATTCCAATGAAGACATTTCTTGTATGTTTTTAAAACAAGATCCTTTTTGCTTTGTCCCATTGGTGAATTTTGTTTTAAGGCTCACTCAAATTGTGCTCAGAGTTAGATGTGTTTTGCCAAATCTGAGCATGTTTTGACTTCCTCACTTTTTGCAGTGAATTGGACAAAAGTGTAAAGAAGCTTGTGCTACACGTCAGGTCTTTAAGCAGCTCTAGCGTCTTCACACTTCTGTCTTTTAAAAAAAAACCTTCTCGGCCTTAAACATAAATCATGAACTTTACAATTATTTTTATTTTTGTACATTTTCTTGACCTGAAAACGAGACAAAATTTGCCAATGGGACGAGTGTATTTCCATTTGCTTGTCTAGATTTGACTCAATTTATTTGTGTGGCCCTAAATCACCACGGCCATCTCAGAGGACTTTACAAAAACCATAGATTCGCCAACAACAGATCAGAGAATCAAACCGTGCAAACACATGAAATGCAGTATTATCAAACACAGTGGAGGCTGCTTCCTATTGGTCCATTGGGAGCCGGACGAATCTGTTCAGAAATGTCAATAAATATACATAAATATTGAATATAAAAAGAGAAAAACCTCGGGACGACCTAGAAGGATCCAAAAAAGTCATTTTTGTTTTGTCCCATTGGCAAATCTTGTTTTAAAACAAACTACTGGATTCCGTACATTTTCCGGCTTTAATGACTGATCTCAATTTCTGATTTATAGATTGTTTTTCTACTTTTATTAAAGGTGAAACAAAATGACTGGTTTGACAAATGCCATCTGTTGGATTTCTGAACATGACAGAGACATATTCCGCAGGTTTGGTGTGTGTCCATTTTTATGTTTGCAAATCGTGATCTTCCAAAATTTAGATTTTTTGGGATTTTTCTCTTTTTGGCTCAGCCCTTCTCATAATGATCAGTTTTTTCAGTGTGGAATCCAACATTGGTGCAATAATGTTTCATAAATCCCTTTACTGCACACACAATAATCTGAAATGGTTTAAAAAAACAAACTTTTCTTTTGCTAATAAATTATGAACGACAATTATTGAACCTAAAATGTATCCATCCATTTTTGAAAAAGACGTCGGTTTAATGTCCTCATGAAAAGTCTCCATTTGCAGGTTTGAGCTCGAGTCGAGTTGTCAAACCATTTACAGCAAAACTACACAGACCAGGGGTGTCCAAACTTCTGAGTAAGAGGACCACTTTAGTTCGTCAGATTTGTTCAGGGGCCGACAACACGGATTGTAAACTGGTTTTGACTGGATTCTGTTCTGGGCTTTAAACTGGGAATAACGTGTGCCTACTGATTTATTAGAGACACAAGGGATTTTGTGACTCAATCAAAAACAAATATCAGTTTATAAAAATAAAGTTAACAACTGGATTCCAAAGATTCTGAGCTTTACAACGAGGTATAGCATGACTGTATTTGTGGAGGTAAAGTTGGCTGGATGACATTGTGGAAGTATCTCAATGTTGACTTTGTGTTAGGGCCACATAACAGGACAAAGCGGTCCACATTTGGCCCACAGGCCTGAGTTTGGACATATCTGAGACACAGTAACAGCAGCAGAAGTTCAGCCACAGACACACATTTGAATCATTGACAAAGAGATTGACTATTTTTTAACAAAATGTAAGTTTTCTTCTTCTGTCTACTTCTCTTAACAGTCTAGTCTTCAGTCCCCAGTCCTTGTACCAGTCACCAGTCCAGACCCTAGTCCGGTCCTCAGTCTTGTCCCCAGTCTAGACCCTAGTCTTGTCCTCAGTCCTTAGTCCTGCCTCAGTCTTGTCCTCAGTCCTCAGTCCCCAGTTCCCAGTCCAGACCCTGGTCCTCAGTCCCAGTCCAGACCCTGGTCCTCAGTCCCAGTCCAGACCCTGGTCCTCAGTCCCAGTCCAGACCCTTGTCCTCAGTCTCCAGTCTTGTCCCGAGTACAAACCATAGTCCTGTCCCCAGTCCTTTAGTCCCCAGTCCAGAGCCTGGTCCTCAATTCCAGTCCAGACCCTAGTCCGGTCCTCAGTCTTGTCCCCAGTCCTGCCTTAGTCCTGTATCATGTCTACTTCTCTAAACAAATGATGTACACCACCATATCCACCTCAAGCTCTCGGGATATTTCAAACATAAATATAAATCCACGAATCACCAATTTCAATGTTTCAAATGGTAACTATTCCCTTCTGTTCGACCTACTCTTCCCAAATTCTCTCTCTCACAAATACCAGACTTTTTTATTTTTGTATTTCTTCAGACTCAGACCCAGAACAATGGAACAAACCAGGGCCTTCTTTCACAAACTCCTTCCCAGGTGCCACGGCTCTGAGATATTCACCCTTCCCGTTAGCAAAGCCGCTTAGCGTAGCGTCGACTAAAATACGTCTAGACTCATTGTTCTAGAAGACAAAAAGACACATCCCAAAAAAATCCCAGAAAGGTGAAGCTGGAAATCCTGACCATTCCAGCAAATAGCATTCCCGAGCTTTAACATTTTTGTGTGTGTTTAGAGGAGAAAAAGCCACGGAATTTGGGGCAGAGGATTGGTTAAAATTGGACTGGCAGAGAAAGCGAGACAAGGGAAAAGCCCTGAGCATTCCGAGGTTCCAAAAAAAAAAAAAAAATGCCACTGAGGAGAATGTGGAGCGGGACAAAAAGGGAATTTAGGATCGGATTGGGTTTGCTTTTACTGAGGGCTCGAATTTAGGCTAACGCTAGGATGAGAGAAGCAGCGAGGAGAAGAAAAGGTATTTCTTAACATAAGCACTCCCAATATTAAACTACAAAAACTCCCAGAATGTACCGTCACTTGCTTTTTAGTAAGTGGTAAAACTACAGAATATAACTTGAAAAACAGGAAAAAGGCTAACGCTAATTGGTAGTATCGTAACCATAGACTGTATATAATAACGGACAGAGTCATGCCTATCTCCGCCGTTCATAGGAGTTGGCCATGAAAAGTGCTTTCATGGAGCAATCCAAGATGGCCGCGAGTGGTCCCACCCACAAGAAAATTGTGAGAAAATGCATCTACGCATTCGTCAGCCGGCGCAGCTCCATTCATTTGAACGAGAGACTTCAAAAATTCCCCGCGAGTAAACTAGAGTGGACCAAAAAAATCCCCCCCCTCAGCATTGACACACATGTGGAACGGAGCTTTGGGCCAAGAGCCAACTTTTGGTCCATCCTGTAAAGGTGTTTTCGAGAGGTCTGCCAATGCTATATGTTATCATTGGCTAATTCTACTTCTGGGTCCACCCCCAACGGCCCGGGGTGGTATTGCAAGCATGTCAGCGCACGTCATTTTGGCCACTTTTGAGCTGGACCCTCTCCCACTGATCGTAACACTATGTTGGGTTGGTTCCTAGCGCTTGGTGGCTATGGTGGGAAAAACAAGGGAGTTGGTTAAATCTGCTCTATTTTAGTATATAAAATGACATGGGGAAAAAACTACTTAGAATAACAGAAAAAGTCGGTCTGAACATAAGCTAGCTGGAGCCAATTTCCTTTATATGTGACTTAAAGCTCCCATAATGGGGTTATGCAAACTAATGTGTGGCTAGCATGGTGGCTAAGACAAGCTAGGGTTTCCTCGGCTAATTAAGTAGGTCCTCAGATGGCTCATATCTGGAATTTACAAAGACATTTTCACAATATAAACACCAGGATCACAGAGATTGATAAACCACAGATTTGTTAAGGCCAAAACAGTAAATGTGAGTCAGAGATATTTGGATAAATGTTGTATTTTTGTAGACTATATCTATGTGGAGATGCTGTCTGTTTGTTTACCACACAAGGTGTTCACAGATTGGAATCTTCAACAATAGAAAAAGCACATGTTCTTCTACTGAACAGACAAATATTATGAAAGAAGACCGGGGGCCCTCTTGTCTTGACCGTTTTATAATGAGGTCGTCATGTGTCACTGCAGCAGCTGTTGTTGAAACGAGATATTCCTGAAGCTCTCATAGTAACTGTATTTACTATTATTACCACTAGCACTGCTACTTCCACCACCGCTAATGCTACTACTGCTACTTCCACCACCGCTAATGCTACTACTGCTACTACCACCACCGCTAATGCTACTACTGCTACTACCATCACCGCTAATGCTACTACTGCTACTACCATCACCGCTATTGCTACTACTGCTACTTCCACCAACGCGAATGCTATTTCTGCCAATGATTGAAATATGAATAGAAATAGGGGAAATAGATCATGATTATAATATTAATACACATACATAACTTTTTCACTTTAATTAAAATATTGTGTACATACTTATAGCTAGTGTTTGCCCATCGTTTTTTCCACTTATTTTGCTAACAAAGTAACGAAAAGACAAACAAACCCTGGTGATCACAGCGCCCCCTGGCTAATAAAAGGTGCCCTGGTTCAGAACACAAACCAGGACCAGACAGAGTTTAGACCTGGTTTAGAGTTAGAAACTTTGTGTCTTAGTAGTAAGTTCTTAATAATCTAACAATAACAGACTTTATACTTTTATCAACATTTCCTCTTCAGATTAATTTAGTCTTAAGGTCAAGTCTCAAAGTCAATTATATTCTAGAGGACAGAAAGGAGGAGGGGCTGTAATCACCTTCACCTGTGAGGTTACGCCCCTCCCCTCGACCTTGACTCCCATTGGC